GTCTTTGACGCTCCATCACTCGTCTTCTCGGTGACAAAAATTAAGAATTGATTTTCTTCACGATACCATCCCGGACCATTGACATGTAATGAGACGGGAATCGATCGTATAGGGGGAGGAAGGCGTCATCTTGGCATAGGAGTAGAAAGGACCCGACCACGCATGCTTGATGGAATGCGAAACAAGCGTCGACCATATCCCGACTAACGGGAGAGGTGCCAAAGAAGAAACCGGTATCGCCAGCCGTGAGGTTCTCCCAACGGAATTTCTTATCACATTTGATCTTGAGGCTATTGTGCAACAAGTTAGTAAGTTCGGAATCTTCGGGAGATGAAGTAGCGAACCAAGCGCAGGTGTTCACCGTGTTGATATTCTGAGGGAAATAATTCAATGTGTAATACAGTCGCCAGGATTCGAACCCGCGCAGATTGCCTTACATCAATCGGAACGCTACGAGTTGCCCTCCCTCCCAATTCCGTTGGGTTTGCCTCCAACAAGAGAGCATTGCTGTCCGGCCTGGCGATATCAGTGAAAGCAGTCGCTGCTGCCAATCCCGCGGTCCCACCACCGACGATGACCAAGTCGAACTTCCCTGAGAGGAGTAATTCGCAGCTCGACCGTCCCGAGCCCAGGGGAGCGTACCATAGCAATACTCATGATCCGATGCATCAAGTCGACTGCCTTGGCTGGGGAAGGCCTTCAGTGTGTGTTTCAAAGCTGTCGTGGGATCGATCTTCACTTCAGAGTCTTGAGATACTAGACTGAGGTAAGACCACGAGTCGAGAAGGGAACAAAGAGAAGCTGAAGGTTCTCACCGTATAGAAATCGAGTGGGCAGGAGATCCTCCATCAGCAGGTTCGTCGCCCAGTTGGGTGATACCATGTATAAAGCCATGCCATCGGCCATCCAGAAGAACTCGACGTCCTGAAGGACGTATAGGACAGCGCATTACCAGTTGGGAGCACCTCTTAGTTCTGCCCAGAACTTAGTCGACGCTCCTGTTGTATCAGGATTGAGCCTGTTCAGATCGATTGGTTTTATGCCATCGCGAGTGGGATCCCAACGACCACCAAGCTTCTCGTCGCTGATCCGTCGCCCGTTTCGAGAGGTCA